CCCCAAAACCCCAAAACCCCAAAACCCCATCATTATGATTCATGCAATTATTCCAAAGGTAATAATAGAAATCATATAATTAAAGTTAAAATTTTTAAAGTCAAAATTTATATTCATAATCTGGATTCTACCATATCATTTCTTTGGCTTCAAAAGGGTATAAGAGCTAGCATAGCTAACTGAAGAGTCCTCTTCATCATCTTGCACTTAGCTGCTCTATGCATACTTTACAAACTTGGTCTCAACCTCATAGTCTGCACTGTTTGATTTCTAAACAGATTTGATTATTGCCAAAAGCATTTGAATTGGGAATCTACCACATATTGTATTCTTATAACTAGTTAGGTATTATTGGAAGCCAGAGAAATCATGCATTTCAATTAAGTTCATACCCTCGTGATCCAATGTCTCTATGCTTTTGTAAATAGGTTAAGCCTTTTTATCATCCTTATATCTAAGAGTGAACTGGAAGCGTTTACCCCAGTGACAGAAATCACTAGATACCACAAATAAAGTTTGCGCATCAAGGAAATATGGTTTGAGGATTTCTGCGTATCTATCAAATTTATCATTTGGTATCTGACCTACCATTAATGGTACTAGTTAGACATCATCTTAACCTTCAAACATCTTTCTAATGTAAGGAATATGCATCTCTAAGGAGTGTTCATTCTCTTCGTACTTTTTATCAATCTGCTAGAACAACTCATCTCCATCATTATTACCCTTAGATAAAAGCTCTTTTATTGTATCATGGTCCACTTTTAGGTTTCCTAGTGGGGTAGCCCATTCAGTACAGACTGTAGTAGCGATGAAATCAAGAAAAACTTTATGCGAGGGTCCTAGAAGGAACACTCTCTTGTACTACTCTGGATTTCTGATATTAATGTAGGCCCAAGCTGCAGTTGGTCCACTGTATCTGAAGCCAGCATGTGGGCCGATCAAGGCTTTAAGATGCTAATGAGAGTCTTCAGGAATTGGTTAGCTATTAGCTAAGTATCCTGAAAGTTAGGTATTCAGTTCCTCTGGGTCATCTGTGTACCATGAGCCAGCATGATAAGCCTTTCTTATTAATTTAGATGCAGCTGAGCTTGAATTCATTATTTTTGAGAATAATCTTTTATTTAAACTCATTTAAATTTCCAATAGATCTTCCAAGAATGTTTTTGTATCAAAATTTTATCATTTTGCCAGGAATATGAAATAAATGTTCAACGGGGTTTTGGGGTTTTGGGGTTTTGGGGTTTTGGGG